CTAGAGTTAGCAAAGTCAGCTCAAGAACCATTTACGATAACGTAGCAAAACATTTTACGAATAAAGCACTCATTGGTTTCAATGTGAGATGAGTTGAGCAGTTTTGTGAACGCAAATGGCAGTGTATTCTGAACACGGCTAAGAGTTTTCAGCCATTTCAGAAAATTATAGCTATCAGCTAAAGGGTAACAGCTAAGATAAAAAAAAAGTGTAACTTTCAGAATGATATAACATCTGCTAAGAGTTTCAGTGGAGTTTCAGATAATTGATGTTTAAAGTAAAGCGATCAGCACGATTAACATCATTATCTTGTATTCCAATTTTGTGGCGCTTTTTTAGAATGATCGATGGTCCCATTTCTAAGACTGAGCTCGCTTTCCAGAACCGGCAATTGTGTGCTGTGAATGTTAATTTACCAAATATCTGAATTGAGACCATTGATAGCTCTAAACATTCAATACAATCAGTGGGCCTTCCCGCGAAGCAGACCACAGGGCCTTCTTGTGAATGAGTGTGTCAAAGTCATCACAATTACATTAATTAGTATAAAGAGGTATGCTAATCTAAAAATTTTACAAAAAAAAGTGAACCATCACATGTGGCAATCGACCATTATAGGAATGACAATCTTTTTTTTACAGTAATTAATAAGACAAAATAAAAATCTCTGTGATGTTTTCCTTTTTCAGGTGAAAGACCCAATTCAGATGCAACTCAGTGCAACATGAGTTTCAATCGTCAGAAATACCCTTCTCCGGCAGCGACATGAGAAAATCGCAGCCAGCGGTGAGTGTTCGCGGCCGGGAGGTTGGACGAAAAACCGATTCCGTATCATATCTTCATTTAACTCTGCGGAGTCGATTAAAGGGGGGGGGGGGGCGAGGGGCGGCGTGCCCCCGGGGGCCCGCCATGCTTCCATGAAGCAAACCTAACCCTTGAGCGCTGCTGTCTTTGTAATGCAGGAGAAAGCCATTCAGGAGCCTGTGACCAGCTGGTAACATGCGTTCATTCTTCAGAAGTGACCACATGAGGAGAGCGGCAGCAAGAGGCTCCAGCCAGCGGAGAGAAGCCCTAAAGAGATGTGAGACCTGGCCAACAGGTTCAGCTGAGCCGTTTACTACCCCTGATTATTTAATATGATATTTTGTAAATCGAAAGCTTAAAGGTGGGGTAGGTTACATTCACTTCAGAAACACTTTTTTGTTATACTTCCATGGAATTCGCTCTTACATCCCGATAGCGATGAATAAATTAAATGCTTTGACAATGAACATATATACAAATATTTAATCTGTGGAAGCCCGTGGCGGCTGTAAAAGCACGACGGCAATGATCTGCCTTGGCCCCGCGGCCAGATAATTAGATGGCCTAACCTGCATGTCAGCGCTTCCCATCTCGTGCTCAAACTTTTATTCCGTGCCCTCCCAATTGGTCATGTGCGCATTCGTGTGTGTTTGAGGAGGGGGCTCCTGTCAGGAGAGTCTGAAGGAAGGGGGCCCCGATATTACTCGGTTGTGTACTTTCTAGGCTTACTCCGAGCTGGTTTCTCGCCATTCTACCTTTTTAAAAGGGTGTTTAGCACAACTGGCTTACATCCCGACGCGCGCGCGCGCGACTCTCCACAAGATGTAAATGATCCACATAATGCTATATAATGGAAAAAAGTAAATTATGTGGACGTCTCGTTGCGTTAACCATATCTGCCAGTGCACTTTGTCTTTTAACCAGCCAGGAAGACATTGATTTAGTACTACCAGTGGACAAAAAAGTAAATTTAGTCAGCCCAACCAATTGTGCAAGTTTCTCCCCAGCTTAAAAGATGAGGGCCTGTAATTTTCATCACTAAGGTACACTCTCAACTAATGAGAGACAGAATGGCAAGAATCCAGGAAATCACATTGTAGGAATTTTTAATTGAATTAACTTCGGTAAATTCCTCAGTAAAATAAGTTTTTGAGTCAGCTAAAAACAAACAAACAAGCACATTTCCTGGCTCCTCACCAGACCTTGTAACTTCTTCTTTAAGAGGCTCCTCTGTCCTCCACCTGTGTTACTGTATTAATTAGGCACTTGTTCAACTCCGTTACTCAGGTAATATAAAGAGCAGCCTTGTCGCACAACGCACACAAGCAGTCAGCAGGCTCCAAACCCCACTATGGCCCAAGACGCAAGCACGAGCCTGTCAAAGGAGCACCAGAAACAAAATTTGTGACCGTACTGCACCAGGCTGGGAAGACTGAATCTGCATAGGTTAAGGCAGCTTGGGTCGTGAGAGAAATCAACTGTGGGAGCCAATTATTAGAAAATGGAAGACATACATATACCACTGATAATCCTCCCTCGAGTCTGGGACTCCACTGAAGATCTCACCCCGTGGGGTCAAAAATGTCACAAGAACCGGTGAGCAAAAATCCCAGAACCACACGGGGGGGACCCCTAAGTCCCAATGACGCTGGCAGAAGAGCTGGGAGCCCAAAAGTAACAAAGGCCTACGCATGACATGTAACACACTTACGCCGCCAGGGACTCAAAAATCGCTGTAGTGCGCAGACGTGTCCGACCCCTGCCTTAAGCGCGTAGCATGTCGCAGGCCCCGCGTCTGAAGTTTGGCTAAGAGAGCATTTAGATGATCCAGAGAGGATTGGGAGAAATGTCATATGTCCAAATGAAAAAACCAAAATAGGAAACTTTTTGGTAAAACTCCAACCTAGACGTGTTTGGAGGAGAAAGAATGCGAGTTGCATCCAAAGAACACCATAGCTACTGAGTGAAAACAATGGGGGTGGAAAACATGCATGGCTTTGGGCTGTTTTTCTGCAAAAAACGTGGCCTGGGTCTCTCAGCATGACAATGATGCCCAAAAGCAGCGACCCGCCCGGGCAACAAAAGGAAGTGGCTCTCGTAAGAAAGCATTGTCAAGGTCCTAAGAGTGGGCCTAGCCAGTCCTCCCACGATCCCTCAACCCCCTATAGAGAAATCTTTGGAGGGGGTTGACAAAGTCCGTGTTGCCCAGGGCGAGCAGCCCCCAAAACATCGCTGCTCGTAGAGGAGGATGTCTGCAATGGAGGCAAATGGACGCAAAATAGCGCAGCAACAGAGTGTGAAAAGCCTTGTGAAGACTAATAGCAAGAAAACGTTTGAGCCTCTGTCCATTGCCGAACAAAGGGTAATATACCACGAAAAGTATGTGAGGATTAACCTTTTGTTATTGACCAAATACTTATTTTCCACCATAATTTGCAAATAAATTCTTTAAAAATCAGAAAATGTGATTTTCTGGATTTCTTTTTTTCTTTCTCATGTTGTCTCTCATAGTTGAGTTATACCTAGGATGAAAATTGCAGGCCTCATCTTTTTAAGTGGGAGAACTTGCACAATTGGTGGCTGACTAAATACTTTTTTCCCCCACTGTATCTATTTTTAAGCCTAGACTGAGTGATTGAAAATGAATGAATCTTAAATTCCTTTTGTAATGTCTGAAGTCGCTTCTTAAAGTATCTTTAAATAAAACATTTGTTGTTGTATCTTTCAGTATTTTTCTAGGACAGACCGACTGCTTAAGCACAAGCGAACCTGTGGAGAAGCCATAAAGAAGGGGCTGGATCCCGGGATGATGGATCTGGGTTGTGTAGACTTGGGACATGGCAGCTATGGAATAACTCAGGAAAACATTGGGAATATTGGTAGGAAGAGAGGAAGGTCCAAAAATAATGGAGAGGGAGGGGAGCGCAAGAAAAAGAAGGGGGATGGAGGAGGGTCGAGGGAACAGCACATTCAAGGGGCTGTACCTGGGGGCTACAACATCCATGATTACTCTGTCGAGAATCCAACGGTATCTTCCTCTACTGAGCCAGGACCCAGCATGCAGCAGGGCCACCATGCCCAGGCTCCAAAGATGGCATTCAAGAAGGCTAATCGTAAGAGCCTTGAAAAGGGGGGTTTGGGACAGGCCAAAGCTGACTCGTTGGAGCAGAGCGGGGGCATGGATGGTCTTGGCCTCATGCAAACCAATGGAGCTAAAGTAGAGCCCACCACCAGCAGCAACTACGACGACGCCATGCAGTTCATCAAGAAAAGGCGCTACCTTCACGCAGCAAACAATGCAAACTCATCAGGGCCAGGGGTTGCTGGGATATCCAGCAGTGAGTATGATGTCGGTGTCGGCCACTTGTCTTCCCAGCATTCTGTAAATCACGGCGTTGTTTCCAGTGCCATGGACAGTGACGCTCCTCTCTGTCTCGACAAGTCGGGCATCCCAGACGAGGTGCTGCAGAGCATCCTGGACCACTACACTCAGAAACCAGAGGGCTCGCACCACGACGTTCACTTTGACATTGGCGACCATCACGTGGATCTGCACCCCGTCTCGATAGACGGCGCTGACATCGGCCACAGCGCCGACACCCCCAGCCCGTCTGGAGAGAAGACGGTCATGATGCACGAATACTCTCGCTTCCTGCTGCAGGCGTTGGAGCGCACCAGCCACAGTGCCAGCTTCCCTCTGGGTCCTCCCGCCTCAGGACCCTTCACCAGTTCCCACCAAGGAACTCTCATCTACGCTGACAAGAACATCTACACTACGTCCCCGATGGAGTGTGGGTACGGCCAGTCGGTGGCCTCGCCTTCGCTGCCCTCCTCTGTGCCAAAGTCTCACTTTGCGATGCTGACAGGGTCCTCACCACAGCACAGCTTCCACCTGAGCGGCCTGGAGAACTCCACCCACCAGCAGCTCACCCCTTCTCAGGAGCTTACCGACCAGATGGAGAAGCAGCACTCCTCCACTCCCCCCTCCTATCAGATCAGCCCATCTGACCTGAGCCGCCATAAGGAGCAGCTGCCCGGCAAGAACGGCACAGTTGTCTACCCTCTGGCCCCCTCGCAGGATCTGGCCTCTCTGGACTCCTCAAAGCCTTCCTACCAGATAGAAAACTTTGCCCAGGCCTTTGGCTCCCAGTTCAAGGCAGACGGCCGCGGCTTGTCTTACGGCACTGACAATGGCGGGGAGGTGGATCACAGGATACGGACGCCTGTGTCTCAATTCTCAGGGTATAGTAGTTTGTTATCTGATGTCAATGAGCCAGTAAGTACAGGTTCCAAAACTACAACAAGCCAAAGCTACAGATGAGATCCTGAGAGGGAGAGAACACTCGTTAAAGTGGATGTTCTTGTTTGAATCTTTTTTAGTGCTCCTATTTTATTATTGTTATTGTTGTTATTATTATTATTATTTTTTAAGTGTCATCTTTCTTTTAATTATACTGATGCTCTATTTTTGTGTGCCCAGTCCTCTCCCAACAATAAGCCTGCGAGGCTTCTTGCAAATGCAACTTTTTTTTAAGTATCTGGTATTTTTAAGTTAAATATGTATTTACTGTTTATTCTTGTCATATTAGTGGCATTAGGACTGGTCAAGAAATGATGAACTGAAAGAACTTTTACTAAGTAGAGTTGCACCGGACTTTTTGCTTTTACAATGAGCTGAAGTGTTTGAGCAATCAACTTTACAATTGTAAAATAATAATGAACATAACAAGGATGGCAGGGAATAGCCCAGAGTTGAAATCGCAAAAAAAAAGTTGTTGTCTGTTACAAGGTTTAAAGTATTACTCAGGAAAAAGTGAAAAAGGAGAAGCCTACGGGGTGCAGTGAGCGCTCTTTTCAGAAGTTAGTTTGCGACTTCAAAGAGGATTTTTCTTATGTTTTATTACTTGTTGAATGAGTGTGACACAAACAGACTGCTGCCAGCTCACATGAGCACTGAAAACACTTTCTACTTGGCTATATAGAGATTATGGTACTTTCGTGTCAATGTGAAACTCATGTTTTCTTCAATAAGGGCCATATATATATATCTATATATATTTATAAGAATATATATTAATGTAAAAACAGATTTAATCATTCTGGGGAACTGCCAGTTGAAGTAGAGGAAGAATGGGGGCGGGTTTGGGGGCTAAATGTTGTCCTTGCTATATTTTTGGAGAGCAAAAGTGATGTTGGGCTTTTAATTGGCCAATAGAGGTTGCTGTTGGACAGTGATAGAATGGCCTTCCCCTTTTCCTGCCCCCGCTTCTTCCTCGGTTCTCTTATTTCTTTAAAAGAATCCAATTAGCACTTTGAGCCGTTTTTTCTTACATTGCGTAAATTACCGTGTCAGATCAAGGAAGCTCAAACGTCAGGAATGGACTGGCTTTTGGACAGAGATGAGTTTGGGCATATGCAGAAGGGGTTTCTGGGTTGAACATATTTTCAAGGGGGTATGATGTGGATACCCTTCGTTTTGGTGGCATGGTTTCTATGGGGATGGTGGGCGGGGGGAGGCGGTTGCCGAGTTGATATGGAAAAGTGGGATTTTTCATTCAGATTTTCTCTTTCTCCTTACTTTTAGGGAACATTTAGATTGGGGGGAGGGGGGACTTTTAAAATAAAGTAACATTTAATCGGGATAATGTAAATGTAATTCAAACCTCTAGTTTTAGTTTTGACTTGTTACCCAACTTAGAAGCTTTTGCTTTCTTATTGAATTTGATGACAAATGTGTTAGTGATGAAGTATTTCTCAAGCTGTTACTGAGAGGCAGCCATATGCATTACGAACTAAAAGGTGGCTGACCCAAATGTTTGTAAGCATTTAGATATCTCACATATGCTGGCATTACCGAGCATATTTGTCCCAATAGAAATTGGGTGCCTATTCCTGAGCAGTGCAGGTGCAAAATATTGTCTAGTAAATGTAAAATGTAATTTCTCGCTGATTTTTAAATGTATTTATGCTGTACGATTATTTTGTAAAGACAACAATAAGTACGCAGTCTTCCATAGCTACAACTGTCCGAGTGCTGGACATGATATCACTCTGCTGAATGAGTCTTTGAACCCCTTTATGCCCCAATGGCCTGTTGTTTTAAGCAATCATTGAACATGGCAGAGTGAATGCAATGCTGTAATATCTTAAATAATATGTTGCCATGCTGAATGGTTGAGGCGTGAACAAGAAGTCGCCTCACATATACCTCATATCACAGTAACCCAGGGACGCAGGAGTGACGGTTTGATGTATGTAGCAGAAATGCTGTTGTTTGTGTGTACAAATAAGTCATGTTTCTGTGTGACTAGTTTTAAACATTTGTGTTCATGACATTTATGTGACCCACTAAGACATGATGCTTAAGGGTTTCTGTAATTGTCGGAAGCCAGCCAGTTTTCAGTCTCTTCAGTTCGACCTCTCTCCTCCAGATCTGATTTTCCATATTGTTTCAATATGCTTATTGTTTACAAAACACTAAATCTTGAATGAATTCTGACCCCTGTATACATTTTAATTTTAGTATATTTTCCCCCTCTTTTTTATCACCGCCAAATTTTGTAGCTGATATCTTCCATTTTTATTTTCTTCCAGCTTCTTGTGACACGTTTCACAAGACTGTACTTGTCCAATGAATTTAAAACTGATTAGGGAGAAAAAAATAAAAAAAATACTGTTATCAAGAGCTGTTCTGTCATCCTTTTTGTGAGGAGTGCCGTTATACATGTTGAAGCATATGCATGTATACACTCAAATGAATGTATCAGAGTCTGATTAGGAAAAACTGTCACTACAGCATGTATTCATTCATGTTTGGTAGCATAACGGGCTTACTGTATCTCAGCTGTTTTTTTCCACCACATGGTGGTGTTGGTGTTCTACAAGTGAAAAGTCCTCAGTTATCAAACCCTAATGCCGCTCTAATATGCTTTGGTCCTTATCCATTCTTTATAATTCCCTTTTAGCAACTTTGTCGCTGTTTTATAGATTTTTATGAAGAAAGCATGGACTTAAACTGCATCTCTGCTTGAAAATCTATTAAGTTTTAAATGCAGGCCTGCAGACCCACTCGGCTCATTCAACAGCTCATCTTTGGATTCTAATGCTGCTCATCTTTTTCTTTTAAGACCAGGGCTTAATAGACTTTTGGTTTACATTCACTCGTAAAATGCCATCACACCTCCATAGAACTGCAAAAAACATTGCATGTTTCATCAGGATGCAATATGAAAACTAAAACGTCATCTCTAAATGAGTCTTTCCCTGTCCCGGTTTACTACGTTTCCCCGTTTCCAGGATTTTTAGAGCACATGAAGTGCATCACCGTTAATGTAACATTAACACGGTAAATGTTAGTTTATATGTAGGTTATTTAAGCAAACCATTGGGAAAAAATGAATGTATATATTATTCACTTATGGCGAATCTTAGTCATTCCTTCATTGCTACTGCTTATAAGTTCACAAATCAAGGTACATTTGCAAAACAAACAAAAAACGGAAATAAAAGTCATATTAAAGCCGGCAACGAGTGTCCTCGATACACAAGATGTTGAGTCAATGTAAGTTAATATAGATAAATATGCAACTAAGTATTTCTTTAGTCCCCTCTATCAAGACGCTGCAGCAGAGCCACCACTGCACGTCCAAACAAATATAACCTTTTATATTCACATCAGTGATTTCATATTCTCTAGTTCCCATTTATTATCGCTTCAGGGAATTAATCTTCTTCCTCAAAGTCATTCAAAAAGAGATGTTGTCTTCCCGTCACCAAAGAATGAAACCTGCATTTCATGTGCGTTTATCTTGCAAACATTAACTTTCAAATCTTTCCACAGCTTCTGTTATCCACACCCAAAACCTGCATGATTCAGCACCAATCCCATTTTGTCCAGTGAAGACATGACTGAATAAAATATTGACCTTTGTGATAATGATATGATCAAAGATGTTGTGGATTTGCTATTTCTAAACATTCTAAGAAGTCTGTGCATCATCATGAGTCAGTAAGCCCATTTCACTCATTGTTCGAAAAATGGGGAAGCCATAAAAGTTTTGAGCAAGAATGGTCAAGGTGTGACGTGGGGATTTTATTACCTTACCACATCGTTTTGATGCCAAGATGGTGGCAATAAAACAGTACGCCTTAATTCCTGAGCTGAATGTCTAAGAAGTGCTTTTGAGTGAACGCACTAAGACAGAAGCCGAGTTCATTCTGAGGGAGGTGAACTGTTATTAGTGAGGTCTCTTTCTCCTCCAGAGGACGCAGGTCTGTTGACAGGGCGGATGCGAGAGTGACGGGAATAGGATCTTATCTTCAAAGCTGGGAAGAAGCCACATATGGGGTTGTGTACACAGAGAGATAGTGAATACGGAACAGCAGCAATAAAAAAAACAGGAGTGAGTTTTAATGCTGTAGAATGAGTCATTAGTTAGTTTAATTAAATACAGAATGCAAATAAGTCTTTTTAGGCACACTATTGTTGGCTACAGGAATACAAGTATATGTCCGTTGGTCAGTAAGTATACCACTTTGGTTACAGAATGAAACATTTCAATGACTACTTCATGGATTACTGTTTCATTCTTCACATATATCTAGAAGATGACCATGGCTTTGGTCACTGCGTGATTTTTCGTATCGTGCCACCATGAGATGGACATCTGTGATTTTGAGTAGAACTTTTCAAAATATATTTAAGTAGACAGTTTGACAAGACTTTGTTTGAGACTTAGATGTCCTTTCTAAGATAAATATAAATTCCAATTGGTTACCCCTTCACCTTTACGGCTATTGCCAATGCCATCGGTCCTACTTTGTATTTACCTTCTCATCTGCCTCAACTGTACTTTGTGTTTATAACAGCTCATAAGCAAATGTTAGCATGCAACATTGCTCAATAAGAACATGATGAACATGATACGTGCTCAACATCAGAATGTTAGCTTTCAGATTTGAGCATTTGGCTTGAACACCACTGTGCTTTAGTAGAGCCTCAGAGAGCTGTTTGCACATTTATTCGTCTTTTTATTTTATATTGGGATACAAATATAGTTAACATGTCAAGACTTTGATGTGGTCCACTTAGAACATTTGATCATCTTTATCCAATGTTAATAATTATGAAGTTTTTATTATTAAGTTTGTCTCTCTCTTTGGTTGAAAATATATGCTCATCTAAAAAAATTAAATATTAAGCCGGACAAATATTTTGCTCAGAATCCAGTCCTGAAATAAGACACATCACTAACATTAATATTGGTTGCCAGGTGGAAGAAGTCAACACAATGTATTGAAAAATGGTGCAATGTCCAAAAGCATTTGCATGAGATAAGTGAGGACGGCTATGTGTATGTGTTTACACTGCTGTTCATTCGTTATGTCTCTTATGAAGGAGTGTCCCGCAGCAGAGTCATAAAAGCTGTGCTATGGCAACATAGAACATGTGAAAATATAGTTTGTGAATTTTTATTGTTTATGAATAAATAAAATAGTTGAATTATAATGTATTCGTAGGAGAGCAGTTGTTTTTCAATTGAAAATGTTACTTCTTAGTATTATATTATAAAGATGTAACAGTTTAATTTAAAATGGTCATTTTCAAAGTTTAGAAAATCAGTTTGCATCCTGAAAACTTACCACTGACTAATCCATTTAATTAAGAAATCAATCATTCATTTGTTTGAGCTTCTGATTAATACACATAGCCTACAAATAGTTTCTGTATGACAAACATTGATAAGCAGTCAGGATTGTTTTATTTAGGCTGACAATCTGTTGGGCTTTCAACTGTAATGTTTTTAAATACATATGACCAATGTGATAGTTCTTCATTTATATAAATGTACTGTTCCTCTCATATGTTTGCTTTTGTTCAACATTTGCAATAACCAGTTGTGTCATCCACAATTAAGCAAATGTCAAAACAGTTGTGCAATAAACAGTGACAATGCACTACAGTATATTGCCAAAGAAAGATTATTGTCTATAAAAAGTCAAACGTTGACTGTAATACTGTATTTAGTTACAATGGGTGTAGAGCTCTAGCAGTTTATTTACTGAGTTTTTGTTTTCCAAATGTTATTTTATATAATGTTAGGGCCAAAGCAAAGTGTGTTGATGACAATATTCCACAAAGGCTAAGTAAGAAAATACGTTTGTGATTTGATAAACTGAACTTTTTGAACCCAACTCAAGTACAAATAACAAGGGTCTGTCATCAATTGCTTGTTTACTTCATAAAATAGTCTGTGATGTTACATAAACACTGAAAATATAACAGATTCATTTTTTGAGGAGCAGCCCTATAATTTCCTAACAAAGCCTATTTAGACTGAAATGGTTGAGCCCATTTAGAGGAGAGCAACAGGAAGAAGGCTAAACCATGACATTGACATTTATTATGTTTGAACTCTTGTGCTCTCATTTTCGGACCAGAGTCCGCCGGAAAACAAAACCCTTACAAGGGATATTGATAGCATTGAATTGGATTTAAACTTCACATTTATTTAATAGTTGAGCCGACCTGGCCATCTTTAAGTTCTAACACGGTTGGAACCTCAGAGGACATGGTATTTTAGATAATATCAAATCCCCAAAACTAAGTGAATGTCGATTTTAGTTTTACATTGTGGGAATTTAGGGCAGAATTTAATTGAGTTCTTATGATATGTATACTAAAAAAAAGTGTGTCTGGATGATGTTTAGGTGATTAACTTTATTTAAACATTTGAGATTCACCAGGAAATATTCTCAACATAGGCCTAATTTGATTGGGTATGGATCATTGTGTGGTAGTCATGGTGAAGCCTAATGATAAAGTTCCCTCAGGATAAATAGTCCTGCCCAACATAACATGAGCACGTTCCTTTTTGTTCACTTTTTATTCACAGCTAAACATATACGTTTCGTGCACATATAGCTTACTTAACTTCTGTATTGTTGATGACAGGTTCAAGCTCTGGTTTATGGGTGAAGGCAGAACCGCTGCTCTGAGTGACAGGAGAGCCGGCCAATAAGAGGAGGGACTAAAGCTTTTAATGCTGTCACAGGCTGCAGCTTTCAGTCTGAGCCACCTGTAGCAGGCAGCAGAACAGCCCGGGGAAACAGCTACTGCACAGCACCGTTATCTCACCGTTATACCCACCGTTATACTCACCGTGAAACCGGCGGGACACGGAGCTTCTTCACCGGCCGGTCCTTACAACCGAAGACCGTAAAGATGGTTCTCAGTTATCTGCCTTTTGTGTTTCTCCTGGGCGCTGTCGTTAAAGGTGAGTAAAGTTTACATCCCCACTGGTCAATAGACTGGATCACTTTTAAGTGTGTTACTGACTGTGTATTTATGTTTATTTACCACATATTTTATTTGGAATAAGAGTTGAAGCCTTGAAAAGTAAATTGTTCATGTTACTTTTTGGAACTAGTACAGACTTTATATAGATTGTGACCAGTGGTCCTTTCAAGCAATACAGTTACTACATTATAGTAAAAGCTCTGCATTTAAAGTAAAAGTACAGAAGTATTAACAGTTAAACATATTGTAAACTATTTAAAGTAAGTGTTAGCAGTATGTGTGAAGAAATATATTTGAAATGTGGTTCTTATTTAGGCTATCTCAGTCAGAAAGTCTAATTGCTCATCATGAGTTATGCATGTATAAAATATATTATAC